GACTTTCTCTTCCTCGTGATCCATCTCGCCGCTCGCTCGCTCGCTCGCGCTCGACCTCCTACTTCCTCGTGATCCACCGCCGCCACCCTCGCCTTGCCCTCCCGCCGCCTAGCCGCTCGCTCGCCGCTCGCTCGCACGTTCGCGCTCGACCTTCTACTTCCTCGTGATCCACCGCCGCCACCCTCGCCTCGCCCCCCCGCCGCCTAGCCGCTCGCCTGCCGCTCGCTCGCACGTTCGCGCTCGACCTTCTACTTCCTCGTGATCAACCCGCCGCCTCGCCGCTGCCTCGCCCGCTCGCGCCCGACTTTCTACCTCCTCGTGACGCCGTGCCGTTTGTCTCGCCGTCCGAGACGTCCTGCCTGCCGTCTGCTGCCGCCGCGCCGCCTTACCGCCGACCCTTTCCCCGCCGTCCAATGCTCCGCCGTCCCTTCGCCGCTGTGGTCTGCCGTCGCGCCACCGTTCCTTACCGTGTCGCTCCTTCCTCCGTGCCGCGCCGCCCTTGCCGTTTAGCCTGCCGTACCCCCGTTCCTTACCGTGCCGCTCCTTCCTCCGTGCCGCGCCGCCCTTGCCGTTTAGCCTGCCGTACCCCCTGCCGTCCGTAACCGCCGTGCCGCCATACCGCCGCTCCTACAGTGCCGCGCCCGCCGTACCGTATGTCCCGCCGTCCGATGTCCTGCCTGCCGTCTGCTGCCGCCGCGCCGCCTTACCGCCGACCCTTACCGTGCCGCGCCGCCTTTACACACACACCTTACTTTCTGCTCGACCGAGTTTGCGCTGATGAGCGAACCGAGCCGCCGGGTGCCCCACAGCGGCCTCGCTGGGCCAGAACGTCGGCCCCGAGTGCTCCGCAGCAGCCTCGCTGAGCCAGAACGTCGGCTCGCGAGGTGGGGTGCTAGTCTGGGACCCATACGTGGCAGTTCCCTTGCTCCAAGCGCTTGCGCTTCGGCGGTAGTGATCTAATCACCCGAATACCACGTTCGGATCGCTCCTCATCGCAAACCCCGTCAGCAGTTCACCTACGGGTATGTTCGTAAGAGCTACATACACTGAAAAAACACTAGACGGGATACCCGAAACCTCGCGAGAGTGTCCTTTAGCGAGGCCACACTCAGTCTTGGTCACACCTATGTCCAGCCCGCCGCCGCCATCGGACGACGAAGAGGACGACCCATTCGACGCGCCGACGGCGCACACGCCTCGCACGCCAGTCGAGACTGCGAGCGCGGCGTCGATAGCAGCGGCCGAGGCCGAGGCCGCAGCGGAGGAGGCGGCGGTTGAGGCTTCAGCCGTGGGCCAAGGCGGACGCTTCATCCGTGTCGCGGATTTGCTGCATCGGACGGCGACGGTGGAGCAGCTCCTCCGCCAGCTCGAGAGCGAGAGGCGGCGCACCGCCGACCTCGAGTCTCGGCTCGAGGCGTCGGAGTCGCGCGCAGCGGCGCTCGAGGCGAGGCTCGAGGCGAAGGGCGGCGATGACGCCGTCGAGGATGGCGACGCCGTGCTGATCGGCGACGACTCCGTCCTCGGCGGAGGAGGAGGTGGCGGTGGCGGCGCGGCGGCGCGCGGTGTGTTGTCGGAAGGCGGCGGCGGCGGCGGCCAGAGGCCGGGAAGCTTGCTGCGCTGCCTGCTGCACTGGGTTCGCGACCCGGAGGAGGAGGGTGAGGGCGGCGGCGGCGGCGGCGCGCTGGCGCGCGGCGGCGGCGCGTTGGTGCAGCTGGTGCGATCGGAAGGGGACGTGTACTGCCTCAAGCTGGTTGCCGGCGTTCCTTCGGGCGAGGGGCCACGCGACCGTAAAGGGAATCCGCACGGGCGAGGGGCTATGGTCTTTGCCGGCGGGCGGGGCCAGTACGAGGGTGAGTGGGTGCACGGGCAGATGCAAGGGAGCGGCGCGTATGTCGAGGCGAACGGGGAGCGGTACGTCGGCGGCTTCTTTGCTGGGGAGCGGAACGGGCGCGGCTCGTACTTTTACGACACTGGCGACGTCTACACGGGAGAGTATGCGCGTGGCTTGCGACACGGCGACGGCCGAATGGAGTACTCGAACGGCGACGCGTGCGAAGGACGGTGGGACGGCGGCGTCATGACGGGGCCGGCGACGTACACGTACGCGAGCGGCGAGGCGGAGCTCTCGTGGCACCACGGCGGAGCGGAAGGCGAGGGCGTCGCGTGGAGCGCAGACCGTAGCGAGGCCTGGCGGCTCGAGGGCGGGGAGAGGAGGGCGCCGCTCTCACTCGAGGAGGCATCCCAGCTGGCGTCGCGCCTGACAGCGCCGGGCTATGCCCCCGCCGGCGGCCCACGCCCACCCACCCTGCCGACGAAGCCCTCGCTCTCCCGCCGCCGCTCCTCAGAGTCCGCCGCCGTGCCGACGAAGCCCTCGCTCTCCCGCCGCCGCTCCTCAGAGTCCGCCGCCGCCGCGGCCAGCGTGAGCAGCTCGCCGCCGCCGGCCGTGAGCAGC